AGAGAGTAGGAAAAAAATCATCTTAGTATCCTGAGCTACAGTGTATATATATATATATATATATACACACATACATATATATACATACATATACATATATTAAACATTTTTAATCTTGGCAAACTTCATTATATATGAAGGTTTCCAAACCCAGCTGAATAGGCTACATGAAACATTTACCTTACGGAAAAGAGAGGTCACCAATCGACTGGCTTTTGCGAAGGTCCACTCATTCTGCAGAGTGATGGCATCTGATACTGAGGATGTATATTGTTACAGAAATTATTTTTGTTATCATTATGAAAGCAGTATGTACTGTACATCTTATTTCAAAATGTTCTCAAACCTTAATTTTCTGACCCAGTTTGAAGTTTGAGCATAGGCGTCGTTTAAAGCTAAATTTAAGTATTAACAAACAAAAACAGCATTAAGCTGACGGTCTGTAATTTGTCTTTACCTGTTAGTCGAGGCTTGTAAGTGAGAGTCTGTGTGAGGGAGTGTGTGAAGAAACGCTGAAGGGCGTCTGCTGACGCTGAAACTCCACACAATGATGCATCAAATATCTGAATCCTGTCCAACAACACAGGGCAGAGGAGTAAGAAACAGATACATCTAATATCTGTTCTCAGTGCTGAGCCTGTGGTCACAAATGACCCATTGTTTGCTCACTAATCTAGAATATAAGTTTCAATAATGTTGAAAAAGCTTTTTTAGCATTTTAGTTTTACATATATGACTCACACTGAGAAGAGGTGTGCAGTGTTGTACTATGAGTGGGTGCTTTCTTAGACTACCTCTATGTTTCAATGAACAGCTTTCTGCTGCAGACTGTCAGGTGGCTGTGAGTCAGTGTGTTAAGCATGCAGACTGAGCAGAGAGTTACAGTTACAATGGTTTAAGCATACACAGCCTGATCATAGGTGCTCTGACAAGCAGCAAGAATTTACTGAGAAGAACAGGGCGTCCTGTAGGATCATATTGTTCAACAGTGTGTTCTGCTTTCTGTTTGAACAGATGAATCTATTGCGGGCAAAAAGCTCAAAACTGGAAATCTGGACAAAAACATCAGCTAAACCCACTGGTTTCTGTTGTTAAATAATATAAACTGTTACTGTGACCCAATACAAGAGCTGCATCCTTACATATTTTTATATAATCAGTTGGATAACAGTGCGTTCAGGTGAATAGGAATACTGCATCAACATGTCGTATTTAAGGTATTTGCTTTTATATAAGTAAGACTCAGTTCTCTTTTTTTAGACACAGACTTCAATCTCAAAAGACTGACTGACATCAGGCTAATAAAGGTTAATAAGACAAATAAAAGACAAAGAACCATAGCTCGGCTCCTGCTCCAGCATTCTCTGGCGTCTGACTCTCTTCCACAGTGTCCAGAAGCCCTGAAGAAGACAGAAATACGGCGAAATGATAAAAAGCAAGACAAAAAAAGTGCTGAAATGATACTTCGACATATTGGCCGTTAAAAGAAGTATAAAATAGCTTTGAGGGTCCAGAGGTGTGAATCAAAGTGCTTTTCTAAATATTTCATCAGCAGAGGACGTGGGGAAGTGGGACAGGGCATTGTAGACTCACCGAAGAGCATGTCGTCCAGCACTGAGCAGCACAGCAACGAGATCCTCCTGTCTGCAGCTGCCAACTCATGGCTCAGCTCAAAGCCAGTTCCCACCAAGACCCCAACCACAGCTAAAACACAGGAGATCTTGTGTTAGCATTACCCTTAACAGCAGCATGTGCCATTTGGTGAACACACTCATGGTATTAAGAACACAGGATATGTTCCTGATACCATGAGTGCATTTATTTTGTAGCTTGGCTGGTTGCAGTTAAAACATTGAGCAATGGAAGCGAGTAAGGGCCTGGGGCTGATACATTACATGTCTTAGTGGTAGAATTTTAGCTACAGTTTACAGTTTGGTTTTTGGTACGTATACAGCTAGCAGGGTTCCCACTCTTTGTTTTCCAGGACCTTTCCAAGACATTTTCCAGGAGTTTTTCTTGACAATACAACATAGAACTCACAAATGGTGGTCAACCATAGGTGATCATCGATTTGAGGGAGGTGTTAGCTCACGCTTGGCTAGCAGATTGTTCCGCTTTCTGAATTGACTTCAGATTTCCTCATTAATTTACCCACCACACAGTCTAAAATACAATTACAATTTTCTAGGAGATCATAGATTATTTCCAGGATATTTGGTCATTTCCAGGTGTTTCCATTACTGGAAAGCTAGTGTCTAAATTTCCAGGTTTTCCAGGACATGTGGGAACCCTGGGCAACATTCAGTGTCCTGACAAGCTGATCGGGATCCGTTCAGCCAAAACTAAAGCAGCTTTTGTGTGTAGGGTCTAGGTGATAAACAGCTTTAAGTACTGTAATGAGAAGTTTGTCGACGTCTTCCATAAAGTACAACTAGACAACTGAAAAACATCCTCACTTGACAGAACTTTCTGTTGAACTTGTTTGGTCTCTTCTTCTCCTTGTGGAGGTGACCAGCTGCACAGAGCCTTCAACTGAGCCACCAACCACAACCGGACTCCTTCATCACTGAACGGAGAAAAAGCAAGAAGAGGGCAGAACTGAGTGAGCTGTTAAGGATTGTTTCCTGTAACAGTAATGATAAGAAATTAGTATTAATACTTCTGGCAGCAAGTAAAAAGGCTATCATGAGGAAATGGCTAAAATCAGAGCCACCCACTGTTAGAGAGTGGATACAGATAATACATGAAATACATGTTATGGAAACATATTTTTTGACAGATTTGGACTGAGTGGACTGAGTTTATAAAATCTAAAGGTCAATAATTAATGAGTGGAAATCTAAGCATGCCAGCAGATTACTGTATAAACTGATGGAATGTGAGATGAATGCTTCTCCAAAAAAATAAAAAATAAATCTAAAAAGATCACTTCCTGCAAAGAGGTGTAGATGTCAGCTATGCTTCTAACTTTCACTATACTCGATAATTGAGTGACTTGGTGAACTGAAGTCAGTGTACAATTTAAACATGGCTCTCACTACATCCACAGAGGGGCACTGTAACAACACTGACAGCCAAGTGACAGAGTTCATCCATTTGTCGAATATGTAGTATATTGATAATATTACTGTACTTTAAAAGGCCGTCTTTATGAATTTCTGTACTTTGATTTTCCATCTCTGACATTAGCAGAAGGTGATTTTAAGTTTCAAGCAGAAACAAAAACATGCATTCAGACAGAAAATCCACATTCTGAATTAGACTTTCTTGGATCATTTCTGTCCAGCCTTTTCATTTCTTGGAGAATCTAATGTCGGGGACACACAGGAGGCAGAAACACTGCCATAGGTCAATTTGTGTGTGTGTGTGTGAGCCAAGCTGTTCATACCAGACCAGAAGCACATTTCTCCACGCCACTGAACAAGCAATAATGCTCCTTTGTTCTTTTCTAATCAGCCGTAGTAGCTGATCTTTATAATAATCTTTATAATAATAATAATTGTGCTCTCTGTTTAGACCAGAGCTAGGCAACCTGTGGCTCTGGAACCGCATCCAGCTCCTTAGCACCTCTCCAGTCTTTTTTTTTTTTACATTTTCATTTATCATTGTTGTTGTAGTGTATTGTGATTCTTACATTCTGCAATTGTAAAAATGTGTAGCCATTACACACCAAATAAAAAAAAATGTTTTAATATTTTGTCAGCTAAAATATGGGCCATACAATTTGTTTGCTTTCCCCAGCATGGTTGATCAGAAATTAGCATTCTGAGGCTCAAAAATGTCTCTTTTGATAGTAAAGGTTGCTGATCCTGACAAATATATGGAATAATTACGTAATTTAAAAAACACAATCACAAACAGCATCGATAGCGTTTCATTTAAAATATAATTTATATTGTTTATAATAGATTATCAGAATCACTAGATACTCTAGAGAACGATCCAATTGCAGAGTGCACACACACTGTGTGAACAGCCCAATTGTTTAACATGGGCGCCAAAAAGAAGCGGGCAGGGCTCCGCAGCACATCTGCCTCCTGTGTGTTCCCAATGTGAATTCAGTTTTAATTTAACCAATCCAATTTAAGCAACCTAACTTTTTGACTTGGCTTGATCATTTGTTGAATTTTAGCAACTCTTTTTAAATATTATATACAAGATTATACACATGCTTTATCAAGAATCGGAATATGTGACCCCTAAAAGCTATTAATCATGTCTTTGAAATTGAACAACTTGTAACTCAAACATAAATTCAGAGTAAAATATTTCAATGCTATAAATTTAGTAGTTCAAAAGTGGTTAAATTTCACAATTATGTATTCAATTGCTTATATGATTCAAGTATGTAGAAGTAAAAGTACTTAGTTCCGCATATGTGGTATATTTTCTGAACTCACTCTGCCTTGTTAACATCTGCATATTAATCCCTGTATGCTCTAGACTAGCCCCACAGCAGCTAGCAAACAAAAAGAATAAAAATAACCCCAATATTTCTTACCTCTCTAAAATGTACTTCAGAGTGAGGATGTTATAAAAGTGCAGATGGTACACCACCTCCAGCTGGGGTAGCCTCTGTAAAAACACCATGTTAAATATTTCACTACATCCAGTCTATCATGTAAGAAAGCCAAGCTTTTCCTATTGTGGCAGTTTAGACCAATTGTAAAGAGATAAATAAAAGGAAAACTTGGCAAAACTTTCTGTTTTCGGTTTTTTTCTCTATTATACTCCAAAATGAAGTTGTGATTTTACTTCACCTTGCCTGTATAGAGCTCAGACTGAAACTCCTAAACAAATACATTTTAAAGCAATTTAATGGAATTACAAACTATGCAACCAAATACCTTTGCTAGCCCTCACATACAGAGCATTAACTCTAACACTCACACGCACGCACACACACACA